TGGCTTCAGCTCCCGGAGCGGCGGAGATTTACCGGCCGCTCCCGTTCGTGAGCCCTCCTGCAAGTCACAAAACCAAGGGTATTGCACAAGATGAAATAAAGCGGCCGAGGGATTAATTTACCACCTATATGTGCCATTTCACTGCTAATTACTCCTCTTCCACCAAAATGGGCTTCTCACCTGGTTCAAGTGTTCTCAATTAAACTAAATGAATGGCCCCCAAAATAATTTTGGTGGGGAAATGTTCAAGCTTGGCTCCTGAGCACAGCACCATCGGATTAAGTTAGGAGCAGCTATAGATTTCAGCAAAGAACAGACTGTAACAACGTCTGTTCCTCACTGTCTCAAAACTGTCTAAACCAGACAAATGTCAATCCCACCACTTGCATCTTTTCACTGTTTCTAATTACCTTATCCTCCATCCTTAGTTTTTTCCACCTATCCTGCTGCCGTGCGAAGGACTGATTGAAAAGACACATAGTGGGAGTGGGGACAGAAATAAGATGAAATTAGATTAAAAAAAGGCAGCAAGAAGCAAGCACAAAAATTCTGGATATACAAAATAAATCACTATTAAATACAGGTAAATAACAATAAATTAAAACTAATAAATAAATACTTAAAAAAAATAAATCCTGTGCTTTCACAAATGCCCTGAAGATTTTCACCCACGTTAAGGCAGCCGTTGAGTTCCCCAGTAACAGGTACAGGGAATAGGTTCATCACATAGTCAGCAAACTGCAAGCGTTGACAGGAACCAACTTAAACCTTTAAATGCCTTTTCCTTGCCTGTAATTTTTCACAATTTGCTTCCCAGCTACGGCAGAGGACTCTTCCCTTTCCTGCAGGGTTCGGGTTCCCTCTGCTGGTCAAAGACCACAAGATGCCTTGAGTGAGTTTTTCCTGGGTGGGACAAAGTCCTCCCAAGAAAAATGTTCTGATCACATGGGAACCTGCCACATGAGAGACCAACTTGAGGTAGGGAGGGCAAAGCACCTGGAAAAAAAAAAAAAGCTACAAGAAGTTTTTGCAAAAGAGGAGAGCAAACATCTGGAGGGCTGTCTGCAAAGAGACCAGACCTTCTCCTGGCAGCCACGCACAACAGTGTCTGAAATAAAAACATTCAATAAAATAAGAGCCTGAGTGAGCTGCACTCCTCTGCCATCACCGCCTGAAGGAAGCTCCGTGCAGGAAACACCAGATGAGAATTAAATATCTGCCAACGGCCGAATTAAGTTCCCCTGTCTCTGAGCTGGGCAAACGTTCTGACATCTCTGGAGCTGGGGCCAAACCTCCCCTCTAGCAAGAAGGAGACTTGGGAGCTTCTTGTTCACATCTCTCTGTTTTGCTGCCTTGCCAATGGCATGACCATCATCTTCTCTATCTACCCGACTTCTTTTTTGAGTAAGAACTCCGAAAAGCAACGAAGCGATATCCCTTACTGCTGGAAGGTCCAGGATATCCAAAGGAACAGTAAATCACCTCTTGGGTAACCCAACGGCCACAACCTGAGTGACGGCATGCTGATGTTTTCCAGTTCAGAACTACCACTTGTTTTTTGAAAGCCTGGAGCAAGTCAGCTAGTCCTAGCACTAATGCCCCAAAGTGGAAAGAGTTCCTGATCATCTGCAAATGGCTGTAAGAGGAAAGGGTTTAGCACTGTTGTCACCTACGCCTTATCTCTTAGTAAACAGGGAAAGCACAGTTTGTACAAAGACCTCTCTGTCAGAGGTTTTCTGAGAAAAACCTGATCTTTCTGGAGATTCAAAATAAACCACACATTACTCCAGTTTTCTACCCTTCTCTCTTCCGACCAGAGATGCTGAACGTGGGTCTCCCCGTGATGTTTAACATCGTACTGGGAATTAAAAGCACGTGCAGAGGAAGGGTTTCCTAAATCACACAAGTGCTTCTGACACCCACCGATCAGCCAGAAACCTTGGAGCCAGTGTGAGGCGGGGAACACAGCGACTTTGCCAGATTCCACTGCAGTGGGATCTGACCAATAACTCCAACGAAACAGCTCCTTGTGCAAGAGCAGTACAGAGGCTGGAAGCTCCGGAAACTCTTGAGGACACTAGGGCGGAATAAAGGGGCAAAAATCCCAAAGAAGGGACAAGCACTCCTACAAGATGTTGGCGTTGATCATTTCTCCTGAGCCTTCAGCCACAACAAACTTGAAAAGGGGGTCTGCAAACTGCGTGGAGACATCTACAATACACAAACACAGGCTGGGGGGGAATGGCTGGAGAGCAGCCC